GTTGCGGGGGCGTTACAAATTCCCATGGGACACCGGACCCATTGCCACGTGCCCTCAAATAGGACAAAAGCGGTTTTGGGTCGGTCCTCCGGTCGGACTGCGACATGGTGAAAACCGTGTCGGATATCGAACTTGGAAAAAACTCGCACGGCCCCGATAGCATCTAACAAATCGTCGATTCGCGGCAAGGGATACACATCTTTGGTAGTGATAGCGTTCAATTTCCGGTAGTCGATACATACCCGGACCGAACCATTTCGTTTCGGCACGAGGACCACGGGAAAAGACCATGGTCCCAGCGATGGTTCGACCCACCCCAACCACTCGAATTCCCGTACCCTTTCCAATGCCAGCTATCTTTCTTTAAGGGAATATCGGTACGGTCGGCAATGTATCAGGGTGTGATCCCCGGTATCAATCACGTGCTGTATCAAAGGGGTTAGCCCTATGTTGTGGTCCTGAATACTGACGGCCTCAGGATAGGCCCGTATAACCGCAAGGAGGAGGCGTTTGTATTCATCCGGAACACGGGCTGGTAACTGAACTTCTACGGTTCCTTTAGGAAGGGAGACCGTCGTCGTAACCGTGGGGACCACCGCACTGGCATCGGGCGAGGCCCCAAACAAAGAGTTGTTGGTTTTCGCTGAAAGGACAGTCGCAGTAAGTTGACTGTCCGCCGGACTCATCGGCTCGCTTTCCATATCACTGTCACTGTCCAGTTCGGGTTCGGCCGAGGGTTCTACCGAAAAGGCCTGCATCAGTTCCCTCGGTCCCCACCGATATTCCCTTGTTCGGGGTTGAAATGACACCCCGTCGTTCAGGAGTATCGCGGCTTTTTCATTCGTGAGTAGGGGTCATGGAGGTCGAAAAGATAAATCGCACAGCCCCCTAAGCTCGGTAAATCTTTCAGGTAGGGGGTCCGTCCTGAGATACAAGGACGGAGGGGGTTCCGAAAGGTCAACTATTCGGGACACCCTCAGCAGGGGTTCCCCCTGCACCACGGAGGAGAACGCGTGCGACCAATTGGAATCGCTCCGAACTATTTCCAGTGGTTCTCGCCGCCAAGAATGGCGCCACCGATCCTGAACTCGGATCGGATATCGGTCGAGTACATCAGTCTCGTCAGTTTCCGTCGAGGGTTTATTTTCGTCTGGTGACAGGCGTCAGATCATATTGATTTGATGGGTTTTCGTGGTGAGTCGAGGCGCCGGCTGGTCGTGCATGCGCAACGCCAGTCTCATTGGTATCGTTTGGGGTTTGGGGTGGGCCAATATGAGCACCACCTTACAACTGTCAAAGTGCATTCGCGCTCCGACCGCCACCTGCCATGGAATGCCTAGCAGAACATCATACGCCTGTACATCCAGCACGATTACGTCGCACAAACAATGCACCCGCCCCACCCATATAGGCACGTTCATTATTCGCCCTTTACAATGAATACTGTCTTCCGTAGCGGATATATACAGTTCATCCGGTCAGAGGGGCTGAACCTGTCCTTCCCTTCCCAACTGTTTCGTCAATCTCCAAGAAATGGCGACCGCTGACGATCCCGAGTCTAGGATGGCGGCCGAGGGATTTCACCAGACCTCGCAGTCACACTCAACGCTTTTCCACGTTATAGGATAGGCTCGGAGGAATACCTCGGGTTTTTTCGAGGATAAGTCTACGGTCAGGATCATTCCTATCCGGTCGGCTTCGTGCACCTTTGAGCTCGGGGGCTGCGACTCCTCGTTTGTGGGTAGGTCCCGTAGGACCGGCTTTTTGCCCTTTCGACTTTCCTCGAATTGGCGCCTGTTTTTGAGGCATCGTTCGATCAACTTTTTGTTAGCTGCTTCGGAAATGGTTAGCAGATAGGGAATAGGGACGGGGATCCGAAGATCCAGAGCCTTCAAGGCATCCAATATGTCGATATGGCCATCCTTGTATTCAGGACCAGG